CTCCGGCGGTTCGGGGTCCCTCCAGACCCCAGTGTTTGCCATCGTAACTTACGAATGTGCATTGGGGTTGCGAAATACCCCATCGTGGGTACACTTTGACCCCATAGTAATCGTGGAGTAGAGAGCATCCCCGGTCCTCGCGAAGGTCAGTTTACACGTAACCCGGGGCCCACCCGGCTAAGCGCTAGCCTGCGAGGAGCAGGAGAAAGGAACAGAAGGAGGAAGGAGGACTAGAAGAAAGGGGGAGTCCGAGGTCCTCACGGAGGCCTGTTTTCGCGTAACCTGGGGCCCATCCGGCTAAGCGCTCGCCTGCGAGGAGCAGGAGAACGGAGCAGAACAAAGAAGGAGGATGCGGAGGCAGGGAGAGTCCGAGGTCCTCACTGAGGCCCGTTTACGTGAACACTGCCGAAAAGGAGACGATGATGATCTGAAGTTGAGAGTTGTTTCCTCCGGCGGTTCAGGGTCCCTCCAGACCCCAGTGTTTGCCATCGTAAGTTACGAATGTGCATTGGGGTTGCGAAATACCCCATCGCAATTAGTAAGGGGTCACAGTGTACCCACAGAGTAGAAAGCACCCCCAGTCCTCGCGAAGGCCGGTTTTTGCGTAACCCGGGGCCCAGCAGCTAAGCGCTTGCCTGCGAGGAGCAGGAGAATGGAACAGAAGGAGGTAGGAGGACTAGGAGGCAGGGGGAGTCCGAGATCCTCATGGAGGCCGGTTTACGCGAACACTGCCCTTTGCAAAGCTATGCGTCCGACAGCGAGGAGCAGGAGAACCGAGGAGAAGGAGGAAGGAGGATGCTGAGGCAGGGAGAGTCCGAGGTCCTCACTTAGGCCGGTTTACGCATAACCTGGGGCCCATCCGGCTAAGCGCTCTCCTGCGAGGAGCAGGAGAACGGAGCAGAAAGAGGAAGGTGGACTAGGAGGCAGGGAGAGTCCAAGGTCCTTGTTTAGGGTGGTTTACGTGAACACTGCCGAGAAGGAGATGATGATGATGATGATGATGATGTGAAGTTGAGAGTTGTTTCCTCCGGCGGTTCGGGGTCCCTCCAGACCCCAGTGTTTGCCATCGTAACTTACGAATGTGCATTGGGGTTGCGAAATACCCCATCGTGATTACTAAGGGGTCACACAGTACCCACGGAACACAGAGCGCCCGAGGTCCCCACTGAGGCCGGTTTACGCATAACTCGGGGCCCATCCGCCTGAGCGCTCACCTACGAGGAACAGGAGAACAGAGCAGAAGGGGGTAGGAGGACTAGGAGGCAGGGAGAGTCCGAGGTCCCCACTTAGGCCTGTTTACGCGAATACCGCCCTCTGTAAAGCTGAGCGTTCGGAAGCGCGGGGCAGAAGGACCAAGGAGAAGGAGGACGAGAATGAGGCGATGATGATGATGATGATGATGATGACGATGATGTGAAGTTGAGAGTTGTTTGCCCCGGTGGTTCGGGGTCCCTCCAGACGCCAGTGTTTGCCATCGTAACTTACGAATGTGCGTTGGGGTGGCGAAATACCCCCCATTGTGGCTACTAAGGGGTCGGCAAATACCCCCGATGTGATGAGACAGGGGTAACGAAATACCCCCCATTGTGGCTACTAAGGGGTTGGCAAATACCCCCGAGGTGATGAGACAGGGGTAACGAAATACCCCGATGCGAGTAACGCGGGGTAGCAAAATACCCCACCGCAACATCGGTAAAGGTAGCGATATACGAGTTACTAAGTGTGTCGGGGTTGCGGACAAATTGCCAGACAGAAAGACAGAAAGAGAGCACACCACCGACAAGGACATGTCCCGCACCAGGCCGTGGGTGGCGAGGAGGGATCGAGGCGTAGCAGCATCAACGGCATCAACATCTGTGTCAGCGTCGTAAACCTCTTGGGGAAACCGTGGCTCCTTCAGCGGAAGAAACTTAGGCGCATTGTGCACTGCTGCTGCTGCTGCTCCTGCTACTCTATTACTACATTTCCTTATCAAGGCCTAGCCAGCAAAGACGCAGAAGACAACACGGTCGCCGGTGGTCACGTAATAGACAGGTCCGAACACGAAACCTTCTCCAGAAAGACTGAAGAAGAAGAAGAAGAAAAAGTCAGTGTCCATCTAACTGACGAGGTTGAACATGACAAGAAAATTGCCTTTGTTTGGGCTGAGTCGCAAGCATCCGGCTTTGAAATCTCATCGCAAAATTACCGGGGTGCCTACTTGGAAGATGACTCGGAAAAAGAGTCGCAAGATGACAAGGAGCACTCTGAGGCCGAGCTTCGTGACAAGGCTGCTATGGGGGGCACTGAGGATGGCGGTGATGATGGTCGAAATGATAATTACGGTGAAGACGACGACGTAGATTACGACGAAGCTGTAGGCGATTGCCACGAAGGTGATGGCGATGACGGCGATGACGGCGATGACGGCGATGACGGCGATGACGGCGATGACGGCGATGACGGTGATGACGATTACCACGAAGATGGTAGCGACGAAGATGACACCGACGACTACGATGGAGAAGAAGAAGAAGAAGAAGAAGAAGAAGAAGAAGAGGACAAGCAATCGTCGCGGTCAATTTATCCCAAACCCGCGACCTCGAGCAGCGAGGAGGCCCCACCGAAGAGGCTCTAGCCGCGGTCCGAGACGAGGCGTCCTCGTTCATGGCGTACTTTCCGCCCGAGATAGAGGACGCCGTGGTTGCGATGACCAACCTGGAAGCGTCCAGGCGCCGCACCGCCATCGACGGTTGGAAACCCATGGGCCGCGCCGAGTTCAGAGCCTACGTGGGGCTGCTGATACTTGCCGGCGTGTACAGGTCGCGAGGCGAGGCCTGCGAGAGCCTGTGGGACGCAGAGAGCGGCAGGTCTGTGTTCAGAGCCACGATGCCGCTCAAGACCTTCCGGGTTTATTCGAACGTCCTGCGGTTCGACGACCGAGAGACCAGAGAGGCCAGAGAGGCCAGGCGTCGCAACGACCGCGGTCAATACGACAAGCTGGCCCCGGTCAGAGCTGTGTGGGATGAGTGGTGCAGGCGATTGCCTCTCATGTACCGACCGGGACCCGAGGTCACCGTGGACGAGAGACTGGTGCCGTTTAGAGGTTTGTGTGATGATGATGATGATGATGATGATGATGATGATGGGACGTATGGGATGGATACTTGGTTTTCCTCAATGTATTTTTTTTTGTACTTTTTGTATTTTTTGGGGGGGGCGTTTATTTGGTTTTTCTGCCCTGTGTGAAACTGAGATACGTTCTGAATTCTTTCACTCTCTTGGTGCATATGTGTCCGACTGTGGTGATTGTGATGATATTGGCACATATGGGACGGATATTAGGCTTTCCTCAATTCCTCAATGTTTTTTTTGTGTACTTTTATTTGGTTTTCTGCCTGCGTGTTTGTGAAACTCGGACACCTTCTGAACTTTCTCTTGGTTTCTTGTCGTATCACCCACAGGAAGGTGTCCGTTCAGGCAGTACATGCCCAGCAAACCGGCCAGGTACGGGATCAAGATATGGGTCGCGTGCGACGCCCGGTCCAGCTACGCGTGGAAAATGCAGATGTACGCCGGCAAGCCCGACAAGCTTGACAAGCTCGGTCCTACCGAAAAGAACCTGGCCGCCCGAGTGGTCATGGACCTCACCGAGGGACTGGCGCCTGGACGCAACGTCACCTGCGACAACTTCTTCATGTCGTGCGAGCTCGCGACGAGGCTTTTTCGCGAAAGAGGCCATACAATGCTGCGCATCCTCCGAGCCAACAGGCCCGAGATCTCCAGAGAGCTGCGCTGCGTCAAGAGCAGGGCTGTCGGCTCCGCCGAGGCCGCGGTGCTCCGGATGGCTGGTCGCCCAACGCGGTCGTCCTGTCCTACGTGGCAAAGAAGAACAAGAACGTGCTGCTCCTCACCACCTCTCCCCGCTACGTCGGGCCCTCCGGGTCGCTGCTGGAGCCGAGCAGCAACCCCGGCGGCGGCGGTGGCCCCGCGAAACCCTCAATGGTGCTGCATTACAATCACACCAAGGGAGGCGTCGACAACCTAGACAAGGTTGTGGGGACCTACAGCTGCAGGAGAAAGACTTCTAGGTGGCCCATGGCCCTTTTCCACAACATGGTGGACGTGGCGGCCTACAACGCGTTCGTCCTCTGGAGAGAGATCCACCCGGACTGGATGTCGGGCAAACTAAACAAACGAAGGCTGTTCCTCGAGCATCTGGGCAAAGCACTCGTTCTCCCGATGCTCGAGGCCAGGCGACGACGAGGAACGCGAGGAAGAAGGCAAGAAGGAGAAGCCTTCTCCGCTCTGGATTCCCGCTGCGACGAGCCGCGGGAAACCCCAGTCAAGAGGCAGAGGTGCCGCGTCTGTCCCAGGAGCAAGGACGTCAAGACCAAGATCGTTTGCTTCGCCTGCCGCGTGCATGTGTGCTCGAGGTGCGCACTCACGTACTGCCCCAACTGCGCCGCTGCCCGCCCTCCGGTTTCGCGACGAGACCCCTCCGACGACAAGCACCGGGGCCCACCGGTGTCCGCTTGACCCCTCTTTCTTTCTCTCTCTTTCTCTCTCTCCCTCTCCACCACCGAAGATGGTCGAGAAAAGCTACCTATTGACACAATGACTACTCGTAGGCTGAGCGTGTCTGCGTCGACGACTCGGGACATTTACAAGCTCTTTCTCCAAAGCTCACATCACTGGGAATGGACGCATTCGGTCGCGACGGCAGCAACGACGGCGAGAACGGCGACGGGGGGATCCCGGTCTCCGAATCGGACCAAATCGGACCGATCAGAGAGCGCGAACTGGGGGAGGAGCGATCGTTGCAGAAACCGAACGAGTGTCCCCGTGTGGTTCAGGGGTCACCCGGCAGTCTCTACTGGGAAAGACACAAAAGAAACACACCGGTTCAAGCCGTGGCTCTGTTTGACGGGACGTGCGCGTGCTCTGTTTGACGGGACGTGCGCGTGTTTCGTTTGCAAAGCCGAGAAAACCTGCCGCGCTTCAAACGCCACCCCAGAAACAACGAGATACACAGCGAGAGACGTCTTCCGACACTATGCGTGGATTTTCGATCCGCCGCATCGGCGCGGCTGCCGTCGCGATCGATGGAGGGCTACAGACGTTTAGGTGTCTTTGTCCGATGCTGCGACGAGACCCGCTTTAGCCGGGGGTCCGCCTGACCCCCACCTCCCCAACCCCGAGCCGCCGCAGCCCTTTTTCCCGTTTCGCGACGAGACCTGGGTCCGCGCTGCCGGGGTCCGCGTGACCCCCTCACACGCACACACCTCTCTCCCTCCACCCCCCTCACCGAGCCTCTGCGCAAGGTCCAGCTGCACCGCGGGGTGGGGGCCTGCGTGACCCCGCTCCCTCCCAGCAAAACTCACCGGAGGAATCCTGCCTGACAACGCCAAATTGTTGTGGAAAATGTAACAATAACCTGCAACAGACCCAGTGAGTTTGATTTGAAGTGGGTTTAATGAACACATTGCAATGTGGAGAGAGCATCCCAGTGAAACACTAGGACCATCTCTAAATTGTGAAATTGTGGCCACTGCCCCTACATCTTATATACAGACACACAGACAAAGAACATTCCACAAACTCTTACATGTTGGCCCCTCTCACGGGGGGGGGGGGCTATACCTACCACAGAGAGAATTATGACCTTGTTTTCTGCTTGGCCGTCGCCTAAGGACTTACATCCCTGATAAACAGAAGGAGCCTCACTATCTGTTTAACATCTCCCATTACAATGGCCTCACTGTGTTAACATTCCACATGCATGTAAACTAGTGACAGGAGTGTTCTTACTATAGTAAAGTGAGAAAGTGATACTACTATAACTAATGTGATATGATTAAATATGTGATTAATACATGAGAAAAAAAATCTGCCACCACAGTGTCCACTCCGGACGAGTTCCTGCCCCAAGTGGAAGAGTTTTAGTATCTCAGCTTCTTGTTCACGAGAGACAGGAGCAGGGATTGCGAGATCGACAGGCGGATTGGTGTTGAGGCTGCAGTGATGTGAATGCTATACTGGTTCCTCGTGGTAAAGAGAGAGCTGAGTGTAAAAGCGAAGCTTTCAATTTACCGGTCAATCAATGTCCCTCCCCTCACCTATGGTCACGAGCTGTGAATAGTGACCGAAAGAACAAGATTGTGGAAACAAGCGGCGGAAAAAAGCTGAAGGGTGGCTGGCCTCTCCCTTAGAGATAGAGTGAGAAGTTAAGCCATCCGAGAGGGGCTCAGAGTAGAGCCGCCAGTTGGGGTGGTTCGGGCATCTGACAAGGATGCCTCCTCCAGGCATGCGCAACCAGGTGGAATCTCCGGGGCAGACCCAGGACACGCTGGAGAGATTATATCTCTTGGCTGGCCTGGGAACGCCTTGGTGTTTCCCCGGACAAGCTGGAGGAGGTGGCTGGGGAGAGGGAGGTCTGGGGTTCTCTTCTTAGGCTTCCCCATGCCTGGCCCCTGTAGAATGTTTAGCTGATTTTAGAGTTTATAAATGTATTAACATAGAATGTAGAATTATTGTAGAGACACTGACACTGCCCTCAATGTAATAAAGGCCTGACTGTGTCATGAACTTAGGAGTAGATTGTAGGAGACCCTCCCCCAATTGAACTATAAAAGTAAGACAAAGAGGAGTTAATGCTGAGTGGAAATTCCCCAGAGGATACCTGTGTGGGGGTCTCAACATTTGTAACTGGATAACTGTGGTCTGGAAGGGAGATGGGTTTTATGACCTCTAGGGAGTCACCTACACCCACAGTGTTTTAACTGTCACGCACACACATCCACACGCACACTCACTCATGTGCGCTCACATAGGCATTCATGTGCTCGTGCACATAGACACACACAGAGTTTGCAGCACACCGTAGGGGTTTTTATGATGGGGACGCCTCTATAAAGCTGGCTGTAACTAACAAAGGGGTGGAGATTTTGCAGAGGGACAAACCAGCCTCGTCTTCCCTTCTAGACGTGCATGCTTAAATGAAGATGAATAAAGGTTTTGTGAAATAACTACTGAGTTCCGGTGCCGTCTCTGGAAGTTTCGATGAATAAAAGAACAGGGGTAAAACTGATTTCGCAACACCCCAGATAAGCCAAAAAAGATGGATGGATGGATGGATGGATGGATGGATGGATAGTAAAAAAAATGTAATTCTCTATTAACGCCAGTGACTGTGGTTGTCACGGTTCTGGGTCCGTTGGACCCAGTATTTTGGGTTCATTATGTTTTGGTACTTTTGCATCATGGATTTTCCTTTATGTTTCTCTGGTACTTGGTGTTTCAGTTATCTTGGTGTTTTTCTATATTAAGATTTATGATCTGATACTGTTGTGATTATGATTATCATTTAGTAGCCTTTGGTCAGTGTCAAGTCTGTCTCTGTCTAGTCTGTGTCTTAGTAAAGTGTGTTTTGTTTCCTGTTTTACTTTGAAGGTTCTTGTTCCTGTCTGATGTTAGTGTGTGCAGCTTTGTTCCCCCTGTCTTGTTAGCCCTGATCTCTCCCAGCTGTGTCTCCCTCCTGTTGCCGATTCCCCCGTTACTACCCTGTGTATATAAGCCCTGTGTTTTCCCATGCTCGGTGTCGCGTCGTACCCTCAGATTATGCCTGTGTGTCCTTGGTCTCAGTGTTCCATCCTCATTTCATGTTTGTTTTCCTGCCAGCAATAAAGCTGAGGTTTTTGAGTTACATTCCGTTTTCCGAGTCCTGCATTTGGATCCTCATCTCTGCCTGCCCGCACACAGAGCCCTGACAGTGGTGTTTGTAAAAGCATGTTTGTTTTTTTGTTTTTAAATCTCAAAACTTCATGAACTCATTAATATGGAATTAAATGATCCTTTAACACTTGAAGCTACTCTAGGTCATGCTCTCCTTCTGCACTCCCAAGCTGCCAGCCTCTCTCACCTTTTCTCTTTGTTCATGTTTGATTGTAGGAATGGAGTCCGCTGTGCAGGTCACCAAATACTACTGACACAAGTACCTGAACTTTGCTGTACTGTAATTTATTGTATCATAAAAGTCCTTCTTGGCAAAATGAAACATTTAGATTAGATGTTAAAACGTGAGCTCTCCACTCCCTTTTTTCATAACAGGAAACCTGCATAAAATTGGATCAATTATGGAAGGCCTACTTAGAGTAACTAAATAACTCTCTATACAGTAGTTTCTACAAACCACTTGAAGGCTGTAAAAAGATAGATGTGCACTTACAGTTGTCAGTTTCCACTGTTAGAAATGTTACCAGGAAACTTCAGTAAAGAGATATGGTGGAAGCTCAGATGAACAAAGCTTTAAGACGATCACACAAACCTCTCACGAGTGCCAAATATCTGCAGGACAGTGTAGCTGACACAGCAGTGGTAATGATCTGCTTTTAGATTAGTGTGGTTACTGCAGGGGTTTTATTTTGGATGCTTTACAATTGTAATAGACACAAGGGTGAAGTGAAGTAAATCTACTAAACCAAAGGTGTTAATAGTTTATCTATTTTGTCATTTACTCCAATCAGACCTGCCACAGCAGTCACATATCTCTGGGTCCAGTACTAAGAGAGGATCCTCTTGATTGTGTGGAGTTCATTCTGTCTTTGTGTAATGGAGCAACTCAGGAGTTTTTACCTGTTAGAGCACTGACCTGTCCTGTTTGATTAGTCATTCTGCTGATAACGCCTTTATGGTGCAATACATACAAATCACACAGCAAAAAAACAAACAACATTTGTTCCTGTTTTTGGAATTTGATCTTTTTTTTTCTCGTTTGTGTTTAGTTTGAAAACACCCTCTCAGGCAGCTATAGAAGAAAGCAGCTCCAACTCTGTGCAGGAATCTTGTACAAAGAAGCTTCAGCAGCTCTTCATCAAAGGTTGAGACTTAAAGCTCCAGCATGATTTTGCTCCTCTTCTTGTTCAGTCTGGCTCTGGGTGCTCCTTCTGAGTCTCCTTCTGATGGAAGTGAAGTGGAGCTACAACTTGGTAACCGTCCCATACCCCTGGCAGCTCTCACAGCTTCTGTCTCTCTCCCACATCTCCCGGTTGTGGCATGTCAGGGGCCCAGTGGGCTGTTCTTCTTCAGCTTTGCCTTATGTCTTTCACTCTTTTCAGTCTCTTCCTTTGCCATTTCAACTCCCAGAATGGCAAATATGAAACTCAGACAGTCTTCTCAAGTCTATTCATACACAGTGATGTCGCTGGTGAACCTCTCAGCTTGTGATTGGGAGCACATGCTTCCATTGACGATTGCATTTGTACATGCTGCTGAACCCTTTAAGGTTTAGGGCAGTGGTGCTGTCTGTTCACCTTGTTGACTCTTGAAGTCGACGCCGTTGCTCTTGAACTGCATTTTGTCTTCAGGGAGAGATTGATCGTCCTCGAAGCTTGTTCTTCAGGCTAAAATGTACAAATCAAAACAGCTCACCATTGCAGATCCTTTGCAGTGCCTCTCTTGGTTCTTTTAAAAATTCCTGCATGTGTGAGTCGCTGAAGCACACCCCGCGGTTCCCCCTTTTTGAAAACAACGGTGGGACT